GATAGAGCTTCCGACCCCCCTTAATTTCATTGACCCTCCACACGAGTTGAGGAAAAGGAGTTAAAAGAAGTACTCTGGCGAGCTCCAGATGTACAGAAATTGCTCTTGCTCGACTAATAAGGGTCGACCATGCAAAAGACTGCAGTTGGAACCCCACCAAATGAAAGAAAAAATGTAAATGAAATTGAGAAAAAGGGGTTCCAACGGTGAAATGAAGTGAAAGAGCACCCCGGTACAACGAGTCCTTGGTTGTGAATGGTGTGAGTCCCTTTATCCATGAACTGACTGTCTTACTTCTACTTTTTCTCATGATCCTGGCTTGAGTCTAGTACTCGCATTGAGAGAGATAGGGAACGTCTTAGAAGACCAGTTGACCTCGTAAGCAGCTATATGATCTAGGAAATCCTCTACCGACGATTGGGGTTGTATGCTGCTATAGAGCTCTGGAGAGCTGCATTGGTTTGAGTTAGGTTTGCTTGGGGACAAGCAAACAGTTAAGTGTGGGGGGATTTGATGACTCAGTATTTGCACATGTTTTCCCCTTTGTTTCTTGATTGTTTGAGCTTGAATTATCGTGTCTTTGGCCTATTTTACGCTAGGTTGTGTTACTTTGTCACATTTCAGGTCCTCGCACATAAAGTGAAGCATAGGCGCAAGTTTCAAGTCAATCAGAGATCAATTGACGATTCGGGAGAAGAAACTCGGGTATGACCTGAAGAAGAATGGATTTCTACCTCACTTTATGGACAAATAATCATGCAAGCTTGTCATGAAAAGAAAGAGGACGAGACTACGAGTTTCTGGGATCAAACGGCGACTGATTCGGAGTCCGGACGAGGGAGAAACGACGCATTAAACAGAGGCTGAGCAAGCCACACGGGCACAACCCACACGGCCGTGTGACCTGGCCATGTGGCCGTGTGGAAATCACCGAGCCTTCACACGGGCAGCTGGGAAAGCCACACGGCCGTGTGAGTCGGGAATTGCTGTTTAAAACCCGATTTTCAGCAAAAGGAAAGGGGGAGAGCTGGGTTTTGGATCCCAAACACCCAAGGGACGAACCCTAGAGAGAGAGAGCGACTTGGGAACATTCTTGGAGCTATTTTGGAGGATTTCTTAGCCATTGGAGCTCGGGAATCAAGCTTGGAGATGGAGATTGAAGATCTAGATCAGATTTCTGCAGTCTCTCTCTTCTCTATGGAGTAATTTCCCTTCACTTAGGTTTTGAGGAACCTTAGTTCCATGAGTTAGGATCTTTCTTGTATGAAGTTTTGGATGCTATATTGTTTGATTATAATCGAATGATGCATGTTTATTGAGTCAATTGAAGTCTGATAAACTTTTCCTGATTCCTGGTGCAATCTGAGATAGATAGAATCTGATTAGGTTGCTAGAGTCTCATCATTCGGTAGTAGGAGATTGGCTATACGAGAGTTAGCCAGTTTACTGCTTTGTACTGGAATCCAATTCCAGTAGTGGAAATATGTGCTTATTGCTTCAGCTTTCTATCCCGGTGAAGACTAGTCGTCTGCCGGATAGTTAGACTGAGAGGGCTTGGTCAGCTTAAGAGATTCCAAGCTACTGTCGGATCTTCCGCAGTTTAATCAACAGTAAATCAACCAAAAGGAATTACAACTTGGACCTAATTGAGGAGCTAGGGGGAATCATACCTAAGTGAGTTCCCAAACTGTAATTAGCAGTTTTCCTTAGTTTAGTTAGTAGAGTAGTTTAGTTAATCAATCCTTAATCTAGTTTGCTAGATAATGAACTGAAGCTGAGTAATAGTAACTCTAGAGACCCGTGGATTCGATATTTATTACTTGTGCCACTATACTGCAGTCCCTTTCATTGGTTACACTTGGCCATTGTTAGGTGTTGTGTTTTAGAGAATCACTAATGAAGTTTAAAAAATGAAAAACAACGTCCAACTACACTAACATAAATACATATTTTAAAACAAATTCGGATCTATATAAAAATGTCTGAGAAGAACAATGATAAGAGTTGTTTTATATCACATATACATAATCAATCTTCAGTATACGATAAAATTTTTTGCCTTTTCCAATAACTTTCGTGTATTCAATGATATAATGAAACAAAGTATATGTTTAGAGTTCCCTTAAAAAGAAACAAACTAACTGACACAGTCATGGTTCCATTGACTTTTGTGTATTCAATGATATAATGAAACAAAGCATGCAGATGTCCAGCTGGCAAGTTCAACTAATAGAGCAACACATAAAAAGGTAAATCAAAGCGAAAAGAAGGCAAAAACTAAAAGCAACATACCAAACATTTTGTGAGAAATCCACAACAATAAAAGTCATTGTATGAACACTTGATAATGATTTGAACACTTGTGATATATGAGTAGTGAAAGTTAATAAAAGTCATTGTAGCTCTTACTCAAGTTAGAAAGACTTTGAATTAATCGTAAGTAAACAATGATATGTAGTGCTTAAGAGGGAAGATGAGACCTTATATTGTTTATTAATATGCATCTTAGTTTCATAAATTTTACATCATTAAAAATTTATGTGTTGAATAGATACCCATCCGAGTTTGGAGCCATTATAAAATGTATGTTATGAAGCAAATGAAAAGTCTCAAGCATCCACATGCTTGAAAAATAAATCTATATTATCAATCATAAAATCATATCTTGCATAAGAAAAAAGAACAAAAAAGTAGTAATTCGATAATCAATATGGACACAATGTCTAATCAAGAGAAGAGGAAGCGGAAAAACACAAATTGTTGTGTATAGATTCCGCTCACGATATTTCAAACTGAAAAATATCATAAAAATTATTAACCAATAAAAGGGAACGGTAAAGGGGGAAATCCATCAATTTGAACCTAAAATGAGAGGAATTAATATCCTACACCATCATATATAATGATATATTATATCCCAGAACATCATCAAAAAATCTATCTAAATGAAAAAGTATACTAAATTGAATCTAATGTAAAAGTAACGATGAAGATAGATATTATATCCACCTAAGGAATAATAAAGTAAGTCATGTTTCTAAGAGACCTCTCTCGATAGAACCACTCTATTATAGAACCCATTTCGTCAAACAATGACATCATATAGAGTTTTAACTTAAATTTGAAGTGCTTATAATTAGCTATTTCAACTCACGAATGAATTAATTATATCATTTGGTAAAAGAAAATCATTCATAAACTTGAGAGTTATTTCACATTTTGTTAAATCATTTGAACTAAAGTATGAAAGTGTTTTAGAACCGTTATTTTATTCATTATTATTAAAATTGCTATTTTTATTATAATGTCTAAGCATGTCTAGGCGAGCTAGGAGATAGACAAATGCCCAATGACCGCCGTACGCCTAATGTGCTGCTGAACCTCAACAATTATAGCAAACTTTGAGTGCATCTTATAAATTTGATCACTTTTATTTTGGTATAATTGATTACATCATGAAAACAATCAATCAAAGAGTCTTTCTTTAAGATTTTGATAAGATGTCCCCTACTGCACAATTAGTATGACTAAATTGTAATAAGATAATCATGTATTAAATTTGGAATCAATAGCGCAAACGATTGTACTAACTCAAGTAGAGTTTTAGCTACTCAGTACTTCATATTCGCATGTAGATAGCTATTTCGAAGAGTTCGAATATTGACTGAGTTTGTTGAACTTTACCTAACGAAACTATGATATCAATCGCAAGATATTATGATTTTTGGAGAAATTGGGAGAATATGTTTGTGATTTCAAACCTAACATGCATGGATAGCATTGAATTTAAGTGATAAGCAACATTTATGTTTAATAGATTAGACATGAAAAATATATTTAGCATTCCCATAAGTTGGTATGAAGAAGTGAATAATTAGGAATTGAAAGTTAGAAACAAAGTTGATTTAATTAATAACTGCAAATGATATTGTGAAAAAGAAAACAAATGCTTAGAGCATAGCTAGGCATGAGAGTGCTACATTAAACTCTCTAAGAGAAAGCAAGTAACCAATAATAGTTAGTTGTGGATATTGAAATAGTTAACTATGATGAATACTATACTGGTGATTAATACTTGGACCTTAGCTTGAACATTGCATCATGCTGATAAAAATTATTTCATTAATTACATTATTGAAATAAGGGGTCGTATGGAAGTTTTGATTATTTTTTTTAGATTGTTAAAATAAATACATTTTTCATAAGACAATAATATGTTTTTATTTTTGTTCATACACAATCGTGAATTATTTGTTTGATTTGACTAAACTATCATTCAAATTAAATGATTAAACAATTTCGAATTTTAGCATAGAGTGTCGAGATAATTGGTATTGGTGTTTGTCATGTTTATATTTCTTGAAATGTATGGTACCAGTGTTCTTAAGTCGTCATTGAACACTTCATTGAACACTTCAATTCAATGCGCAATATTCAAACCAATGATATTTTTGTTGACATTTTAAGATTATCCTTCATTTATAAGTTAGAAAAAAATTCTAAATTAATTATTAAAATATGAAAATAGAAGTATCAAACACTACAAAATACTTATAGTAGACTTAGCGGGCTAACTAACCGTGATAGAAAAGTACTTTGTTTTTCATAATTTTAACTTTCTCTATGTTTTGTATTAATAAAGTACAACAAATGTGTTTAGTCTAATTGTTATAATTTGTGTCTTTGGTGGAAGAGACCATGGTTCAAATCCTAGCATTGATATCTTTTTATATGAAATAAAAAATTGATTGTGTAGACGAAAATACCCTTCCTACTTTCACTCTCGTTGCTAGTAATTTGAAATAGAGCAAATCAAACTCTTTAAAATGTATTATAAGTAGTGTAGAAGATGTAGATATGTTTTGCTTCTTTCAATTCTCATTGTGATTTTATTTCAAATGTCTCTTAAAAATTGATTGTGTAGACGAAAATACCCTTCCTACTTTCACTCTCGTTGCAGGATTTCACTCTCGTTGCAGGAAATTGGAAATAAAGCAAATCAAACTCTTTAAAATGTATTATAAGGATATATTTTGGTTCTTTCAATCGTTGTGATTTTATTTCACATGTCTCTTAAAAGTAAGGAACCGAGAGGACGAGTGGAAAGCACATCAGACTCGACGGAGAAATGTGATTCTTGTTCTGATTTCCATCCTTCCTTATTTGATGGAGATCAGACCGAATCGAACAACCACATTCTTGTGTAAAAATGTTGGCATTGCTCAACTCGGTCTAGAACTGGACCATATAGTCAAAATTATAGAATAAAAATCAATTCAGACGCTCAGTTCAGATGAGTTATGTTAATCAAATTCAAGCTACTGCTGCAAACCAAATCATTATCCACCTGCCCATAAGCATTATCGCATACTCAGTTTCTGAACACATTGCCTGTAGCCTGTAGGCGTTATGATAGGAAAACATAAATGGTAAACGGATTTGATTGGGACATCACGTCCCAGATCACCACTGAACCCCACCTTCAGATTCAGAGAAACCAAGTAACGCACGCCTCTGGGTGTAAATAGTAACATTGCACATTACACATCTTATTAACAACGTCAAACTTTCAATGAATCCTTCCAAAAGAACTAACAAGATATATCATAATCGTCACCCCCCTTCAGCATACAAATAATGTGCAAAGTCTTACCTCAGGACAGTGAAATCACTCATAATTCGTACAGTTGCTTTCAAATCCAGGAAAAAAAGACTACAACTAAACGACTGCCTGCTCCCGCAGTCGACAATACACCACCTGAAAAATATTCTTGTTGTAGTTGGTACGACATTTATTCAACGATCATCGACTCCCCCTCGCAAGCAAACTTTCCTGCAGAACAGAAGCAGCTTAGATTGATGATACGAACGACGATGTACCATGACTCGGATTCGATCATGTGACTTCGTTGGATTATGAACAGGGATGAAGAAATATTCACATTCACCGTCCCAATCTGACTACATCACATAGGGCAACATTCAAACTGGAGGATTACACAGTGGGTTGAGATACAACCCAAACACGAATATATTTTGGTAGCAGCCTAGCAGGCCGCCAAGGATTTGTCTACAGCACCCAGAACCCGCCTGGTTATGTGGTATCGATACAGGATACATGACCTATACACAACCTTTTTACAACCCACCTTTCTTTTAGTACACTAATTCAACATTTCGTATATACACTAGACATTTGAAATCAGATGATTCAATTATCTTACTCTATCATTTTGATTATTCTAATTCGATTACATGTCTTAATTTGAGATGCCCTAATACTGATGAACTACAAACGGGTATAGATTTAACTTAAACCCTGAACATTAAAGTGGGTATGGATGAGTAAAATCCGACAGGTGCTGGTATGCAATGGACAGCCTATATTCCTAATGGAGACCCTACCATCGGATAAGTAAAAGATGACATTTGGAACAAAGTAGAGATGCAGGCGCAAACCTTGATAAGAACTTTAAGCAGTAGCCTGCAGCAACTCTCTATCAGCACGCTCCCTGATCCTCCTTTCCAGCTCCGGCCTGAAATGTCTAATTAGTCCTTGCACAGGCCAAGCAGCAGCATCACCAAGAGCACAGATAGTATGCCCTTCAATCTGCTTCGTCACCTCCTGAAGCATATCGATCTCTTCCAATTTCGCATCTCCAACTTTCATCCTCTCCATAATCATCCATAGCCACCCTGTCCCTTCCCTACATGGAGTACACTGCCCACAGCTCTCGTGCTTGTAGAAGTAGGACAGCCTAGCAATCGCATCAACGACATCGGTAGACTTATCCATCACTATCACAGCTGCCGTTCCTAACCCCGATGTCACAGCCTTCAACGCATCATAATCCATCAACACGTCATCGCATATGTGCTTCGGCAACAACGGAACAGAAGACCCACCCGGGATAACAGCAAGCAAGTTGTCCCATCCACCACGGACCCCACCACAGTGTCGTTCGATGAGCTCCTTCAAGGGTATACTCATCTCTTCTTCAACTGTGCAGGGTTTGTTCACGTGGCCCGAGACACAGAACAGCTTTGTTCCCGAGTTGTTCTTCCTTCCGAAACTAGCAAACCACTCGGGCCCACGTCGCAGAATAGTGGGAGAGACAGCGATTGTCTCTACATTTGTCACTGTAGTAGGGCATCCGTAGAGTCCTGCATTGGCAGGGAAAGGCGGCTTCAACCTTGGCTTTCCTTGCTTCCCCTCGAGGCTTTCTAGAAGAGCAGTTTCTTCTCCACAAATGTAAGCACCAGCCCCATAGTGGATATGGACATCGAAGTCGTAACCTGTTCCACAGGCATTTTTGCCGAGGAGTCCAGCAGCATAGGCTTCTTTCCTTGCAATTTCCAGGTTGTTACGTTCATTTACGTATTCACCCCTGATGTAGATGTATGCAGCACGGGCTCTCATTCCTACACCAGCAATCAAGCAGCCTTCAAGCAACTTGTGGGGATCATGACGCATGATTTCTCTGTCCTTGCAAGTTCCCGGTTCACTTTCATCGGCATTGACTACCAGATAGGAAGGGCGGCCGTCAGAGACTTTGGGCATGAATGACCATTTGAGTCCTGAGGGGAAACCAGCCCCACCACGACCTCGGAGGCCGGATTTCTTGACTTCGTTGACTATCCAATCGGTGCCCTTCAGGACCAAGTCCTTGGTTCTGTACCAGTCACCTCTTTTCATTGCACCTTTGAGGAATGGGTCATGGAGTCCATACAAGTTGGTGAAGATGCGATCCTCATCACTCATGCCACCAAAATGGGTCTTCTCGGGAGGTGGCGGCGGTGAAGGTGGCTGTGGTGAGCTGGCATTGCTTGCAGCTTGTGTGCTGAAAGATCTCAAGGCTAGAGGGAGCCTGTTAGCTTGATGATGAGCCAATCTGGCTGCTCTCTGCATCGAAAGGATGCCCCTAATGGGTGCCTGTGCAGGAAAAGAAAAACATAAAAGCTCTAGTAAAGCTTGATGACCAGTCTCATATGAGCACTCGGGATACAAGCCTACAGTAGAGCACTAACAATGGGTACAGTTCGCATAGAAATCGAGCTCAATATTCTCTCGATGATGCTTACAAACAGAACTGATACTGAAATTTGTAGCAACATACATGGCAGCAGGATATTTCAGTCCATATTCTTTAGAATTAAGATTCAAAACAAAGCCCATCCATGCGGGAATTTCTACCAATTCTAACAACTACCTCAGTGTACAATAGACGCCATCACAACACTGGAAAAGGAAATCCCTCAATGATTGATTATTGATGGCACAAAACTACATTTTGAGGAAAACCACTATTAAGTATCAACCATATTGAGAAAATTTTACATAACATCCTACAACCCATTCACTATTGAACCCCGCAATATCTGTTTTTGACAATTCCAATTTCAACTATTGTCTCCCAACCAAACACGAACTGTAGCTTTACTTAAAACCTGCTTGCCACTGTCCTATTTCAGCACTGCATATGCATGATTACGATGGACCACCGGAAAAGGGTGTGGTTCCATACAAATCAAGCTAAAAACTGGCGATCAAGCAAAAACAGAACTGGTAGCAATATACAAGGATGCAGAATATTACCAACCCAGATTCATAAAGTCGAAGTTGAAACTGCTTTTAATCCCGGCAAAGCCAAGTGCGTAAGTCTACTACCAGACATCCCAAACAATGAAATACTCTCAATGCCTTCTTCTGATAACCAGCATCACATTCGCTGGAACTAATTATTGAGGAAAAGCCTAGCACTAGTCCCAATTCATAAGAATTGATGTCACATCCGATAACCCGTTTCCCATCGAACTCCCCAGGATTTCGGTATTTATCGATTCAAGTCTCTACGACTATCTCCATAGCCAAACACGAATGCCAAAAACACAATAAACCAGATCCAACCCAGTCCCAACTTCTCACACAGCCATCAATTCAACAGTACCGTTCAACGACCGAAGATTTGAGGAGAACAAGATCGAGAAACCCTAAGATCAATAGCGATCCGAAGCTTGACCGGACACGAATTGTAAAGCCAAATAGCGACAAAAGAGAGCTAGCTCTGGAGACTTACCATGACGACGGAGGCGGCCGGCGATGATTCCGGCAGTCTGGAATGGGACGGGATATGAAAGAGCGGACGGAAGGGAGGAATTGAACGGAGGAAAATGAGGTGAAAGTGGAGAGCTCTTCGCTAATCGCTATACAGTATGAGAGGCGGGGGGATGATGGAAATGATTTTTATGATGGAGATCTGACGGTGGCGGCGGCGAAGGTTTACGTGATTATCATAGGCTCCACGTAGAGGAACGGAGAATCGTTCCACCGGAAAGTGGGGTGATCATTTATTACGTTGATCGGACGGTTGGGATGTTGAGTGTGTTTCGTGATGATTGAATGTACACGTAGTGGGAAACTCGAACGCGATTTGGTTCGGGATGAAAGGGACGGTCCCGATCGTCTGATTAGGCCTGTCGGTTTGGTTCGGTTCGGGTAACCGAACCCGAAAACCGCAAAAACCAAAAAACCGAAACCGGCTCCCACAAACCTGAAACCGAAACCGAGCCTTTGTTTTGCGGGTTGCGGGTTCAGAAACCCGAAAATAACACTGACGGTTTGGGTTCGGTTCGGGTGAATCCGAAACCAAACCGGTTTAATTTTTTTTTAAATGCTTTTGTAATTTGAATTTTATATTTTTTGTTTGTACAATCCGTCGGCGAAGTGGGCGACGACACGCTGAACAGAGTCGCCCACCTGTGACACAGTCCGGTAGAGCTCGGCGAGGTTCTCGAGGGCGGAATCGGAGTTCCCCTCGTCGACCGCCGTGGCGGCGATGAGGAGCGAGTGTATCAGGTGGAGTCCCTCCTTGCTCCCGCCGTCGTTTTCGTCCTCTACTGGCGGAGGAGATTTCCGATGATGGGTCGTGTCAGTTCGCGGCCGCTTGATTATCTGCTCGCGCATTTGGAGGAGACGGAAGATCTTCCCCTCGATGTTTCCGCCGTCGTGATTCGGGCTGCCGTCCGTCGTCGTCGACAGCAGCGGCAACGGCGGCGATCGCTTCCTCTTTATCCCCCGCCGCCGCTGTCAGTGCGACGATCCGTCGTACGGACAGCGATGGACAGGCTGAGATTCAGATCGTCGCCTTCGAGATCTTCCATTTTGGATGATGGGGATGGAATAATTTTTGGGCAGAGCTGATTAATTTCTTTCCATTTGAGAGATTTTATTCCCTACAAATAAAACGACAGCGTATAACTAAGCAACATTCGGTTTTTCGGTTCCTTACCGGTTTTCGGGTTAAAGTGAACTGAAACCGGAGCATCACACTTTCGGGTTGAAACTGAGAACCCGAACCCATCAAGTTTCATTTTCGGTTCGGTTTCGGGTTAAACCGAAAACCCGAACCCGTTTTGACACCCCTACGTCTGATTACACGGTGAAGCCATTTTGTGTCATTTGGGCTGGGCTCTTGATGAGAAAAGGATTGGTGTATGAGTACTGTTTAGAGCCCATTAATCTTGATGCGGAGATCTACAAGATACATAAATACTAAATACAAAATATGGGTTGAAATTGTCCAATTTCAAATTCCGTAGCTTGAGAGTGATTCTATTAATGTCATTTTTGTCATTGCACTCACTTTACCTTTATATATTAAAAATGTGGTTAATTGTATGGTTGGTCACTGAGATTACAAAAACGTTCAAGTTTAGTCACTCGAAATATTTAAATCCATTGGTGGTAATTCAATTTACTGAAACCGTTCACATTTGGTCACTCTCCGTCCAACTCCGTTAACTTTGGCTAATGTGGCAGTCAACTCTCAAAGTTGACCGTTAACTTAGTGATATGGCAATTAAGAAATAATAAATAAAATAAAATTTAATCTATTTTAATGTCTAACTCATTTTTACCATAAAATAATAAAAAAAAATAAAAAAATAAAAAAAAAATTTTATAGTCTTGTTCTGGAGCCCAAAGATTTGGCCATGTATTTCACTGGGGAAAATCGTCGAACACTTTATCGGTACTTCTCATTCAGCGGAGCGGGCCGCCTCTTCCTTCGGACAACACCAACACACTCAACACCCCTTTGAATGCGAACCTGGATCTCGAGACCAAAGTACCTCTAGTTGGAAATCGACGACAATTTGAGGATCCACACCTTCATAATCAACACCGATATCGACGGGTTCCAGACCCAACTGTAGGAAATTGCGGTGACCATGTTCTCCGAAGACGATCCGTGGGTGCTGGAAGTTTGGCGTCTGCGAGAACAACAGTGCGTCGGGTGCCCGACGCCAAACGAGCAGCTGGCGGGGAGTGGCAGCGGTTGCGAGGCGCCAAAACTGAGGCGGAATCAGTGGCCGGAATTGGAATTGCAATTGTGGAGTAATAATCCCAGCGGGATTGTACACGTCCTCGACCCATCAAAGCGGCGGCGAATCTCTTCGCCGATTTCTTCGTTGTGAACTAGGTGTCGTCGAATTTCAGGACCGGGTAAGATCTCCATAGATTGGCCCATCTTTGGGACAGGACGCTAGTTTTTGCAACTTCTTTTGAGGGTTCTATGCGAGTGAGGAACTTATGGAGGACGTCTTCGGGTAAATCCGATATCCGGTAGACCTCGCCGGTCGGGATTTGGTTAGTTTCTCCATAGCCATTGGTCTCCAGGCGGCGGCGCTTCTCCGGAGTTTAGGGACGTGTGGGTGGAAGAACAGAGACGAAGAAACAAATGATGGTTTCTTAATTCAATCCTATTAGTTTTTGGGTTCTTAATTCAACAACCTAGGTCAGCCAAATTGATCATCATTGATTTCAAATATTTTGAGCTGAAGGGGGTGGATCACTTTGTGGTGAAGTATACGAGAGGCGACGTGCCGGTGAAGCAGCAGTTGTCCGCCGACAAGTGCAGCAAGGATTAAATTTTATTGTTTATTTATTTTATGGTAAAAATGAGTAGGACATTAAAATAGATTAAATTTTAATTTATTTATTATTTCTTAATTGCCACGTCACTAAGTTAACGGTCAACTTTGAGAGTTTACTGCCACATTAACCAAAGTTAACGGAGTTGGATGGAGAGTGACCAAACGTGAACGTTTCAGTAAATTGAAGTACCACCAATGGATTTAAATATTTCGAGTGACCAAACTTGGACGTTCTTTATAATCTCAGTGACCAACCATGCAATTAACCCATTAAAAATGTTATCATTGGAGTTCGAACTCTAGTCACTTAAATGAAGAAAGAGCATTATAACCAATTAGACTATATTGTGTTTATTATTATTTTTTTATTAAGCTTTAGGAATATGTTTGGTGATGATGATTCTATATTTATAGTTGATCTTAAGTTATTTATATTTTATAGAAAGACATTAGTTCTGAAATCGAAACTCAAGTAACATTGATTCAAACATTAATATTAAATTGTATGTGTAGTTTAGTTTAAAAAAAATACAGAAGTGTAACCAAAACATGGACCTTTGTAACGACTATAGTCATTTTTTGACCAAATCTACACATAATATAGTGATAAAACTTGAAAATGAGAGTCTTCTTTTAAATTTCGTGGCTTGAGAGTGATTCTACGAACCTCTTTTTCGACATAGCGCCAAATTTATCTTTATATTATGTGTAGATTTGTCACAAAAAATTACTATATATGTCACAAAGACCCATATTTTGGCTACACACATGTATTTTATCTAAACTGTACCACACATACAATTTAATATTTAATATTTGAATCAATGTTACTTGAGTTCTGATTTCACAATTAATTACTTTCTATAAGATATAATGATTTGGTTTATCTTTTTGAATTGTAAGCATACACTTAGAAAAGACTTGAAAAGCATAGGAATTTTCCATCACGGTTAGCTAGCCTATTAAGTCTTCTGAAAAGCAAATTTTAATAAGTGATTTATATTTTTTTATAACCCATAAAATGACTGGTAATCTTAAAATTGCAACACAAATTTTAATGCTTGAAATATTGCATGTCGAATTGCAGTATTGAATATGCAAGAGATGTAGAATTCTTTAAATTAATATAAATTTTTAGAACTACTACAAAACAATAATATTTTGTACAAACTATAGGTGACTGGTTCTCTAAAATTTTAGCTTGGTTAATTGCTAAACATTAAACCTCTTGCTAATCTGGCATGAATGGACCTGACAATAATGAGACGATATTGGATTTAATGTGATGTTCATTTAGTCATTTTTTGATGTGTTAACCTTTTAAGGGCATTAACATATAAATGAGTTATAATTAATCTCATTATACAATTTTTACTCTTTATAATAATTAATTTAATCTTATTATTTGTTATGTTTGATATATTTTATGTATGATTTAGAGCATAGCATGACACAATTAGAGGATACCATGAAGATAATGTATATGGATCGACCCTATACAATTAGAGCATAGCATGACACAATTAGAGGATACCATAAAATATACCATGAAGATATATTTTATGTATGATTTAGAGCATAGCATGACACAATTAGAGGATACCATGAAGATAATGTATATGGATCGACCCTATACAATTAGTGAAACACCCTAACCCGGCTGGGTACTACTTTTACTAAAATGCCCTTGATAAACAAAATACTCAAATCTTAAATTGCAACTGGGAAAAATTTTAATAAATAAAATACTGGAAACACACACTTGTAGTTCAAAGCAAAGCCCTAACATGTGGGCAAATTAAACTCAAACTTTAAAAACTCAACTTGATCTCCAGTCTATACTCATAATCATAAAAAAAAAACTAACTAGTCTCAGGTGTTGGTGCTTGTGTGAGAAACTCCGACTAGACATCCTCTGTGACGCTCGTACCGTCCTCCTCTAGCTAGCTTCACTCGAACTGTTTCTCTCCATCTCGCTGCTCTCTAACTGCTCCTCTAGCTTCTTCCTCTTCAAATTGGTGAGTGAGATGGGGTCAGTCTACGCCCTTACGTTTAACGTCTTATTGATACTTGATCACTTTACTTAACTGAGTGGAAGTTGTTTTGTACTCCACTATTAAAAAGCTTAACTCTTAAAACTGTATGGGAGTTACTATTACTCCCCATTCATAAAGCTCAAATCTCGACTTAAATACTTGACTGACACGGGGATCCCTCACTAGCTAGTCCGGTTTCCAACTCATACGTATGAGAAGCTATCTAGGCTTTCCTTAAACTTATCTTAGTTAGGGAAGTCGTAACGATTCATCCCCCTAACATCTTTAAAAAGAACTTGTTTCTTAACTTTAACAATAACTTATAAACTTAAAGCTTTAATTTAAATAAGAACTCATGCACATTCACTTCAAACATAGCTCAAACAAAATCACATATCACCAATCATAAATACAATCAAGCAATAACAATCACTTCATCAAATACTTAAAGCTCGTCAAACTTGAAAGAATACGTAAGGCGTAGAATTTACCCTTTTTACACTCACCTTATTAATCCAATAAATTGGCTCGAGTTGAACATCCAACAGTCCAACGCCTTGCTTAACGTGCACCGGTTGTGCGATCTCCTCCAATTCATCACCCACAGCCTTTGAAGCCAACATTCGAGCCACTTTTGTGACTTGCATTCCTAGTTTTTTTTTTGACTTCTCAGACACAAATTTGTGTTGCAAGCCGGATGGCAATGGCTTACTGGCATTGACATGCACATGGACCACATCTCTCTTGGTCCACTTCTGTTGTATGCAGTCATACACAAATCGTTTGTGCTGCGGGATGGTTGCACTAGCAAAACCAATTTGACGTTCATTGCTTGATGAATACGATGTCAAAAGCTTTTTTTTTTAAGGGAACTGACTTGCTTCGAAGAGTTAAACAAGAAATCTACCTCATCTATAACCAGAACCTCCAGCGGATCAAGCTTAAATATTTGCTTATCATGCATTTGACACAAACTCGCTATTGTTGCTACCACAACAGTAGGTTGTTCTGCCTTTAACCAACTCTTATGTCTTCTCAACATCCCTCCATCCAAAAGCGCCATGACAGTGCACGACAGACTTCTCCTCCATACGACCATGCAATTCCAGTCTTGGTTCCTGCCGCCAGCTAGCCAAAGAAAACATCCCTCTTATCAACCCATCTGTTTGGACAATCCCATGAAGCCTCCCGCTCGCCAAAGCAAGATTGTTCTCCTGATAAGGGATCAGCTCGTAATTGAGGGTACCAGAACGTATGCTCTTCCACGACCCTGTTCTAAGCGAATAGAGATCGGAGACGAGAGGGGGGTAATCTTGCCTCCGGAGGACGACGCAGCCGCAACCGTCAAAACCTTGAAATCATCGGCGCCAGAACTGATTTGAACCCGGTCATTATCTTAATTTCACTGGAGAGATCGGGCTTGGAATTTTTGGTGGGGAAGGGAAAGAAAAAAAATCAGGTCATGGGGTTTTCTTTGGGGAACCGAGAGATAAAGCGGTTGCTCGGCTGAGGCTAGCTTAGGTTTAGAGGGATTTTTTTTCTTTTTTTCATAATAATAAAATAATAATTATTATTATTATTATTTCTACTAAACCGCGATTGCAACTTTTAGTACGCAACTGTCAACCCAACCGATCACGTATTATGGTCGAACCATAACCCAAAATTCGGGGTGTTACATTTCCTCCACCCTTATAAAAATTTCGTCCCCGAAATTTGCTCGGAACTCATCCTTCCATACTCCTCATTCTCGTGCTTCTTTGGCTCAAGGTTTCACTCTTTCTACATGAACTTTAATGGCGTGCCCTTACCTTGTCTTGAATAGCTTACGATAGTTCTTATATGTACTCTTGACCATAACATATATTCCCATCTAGCTTGGTAAAATCGAATAGGTTTAAGTGACTCATTGCCCTTTTCAAAATTTTCCAACTTGGGCCCAGGGTGTGATGGGACAAAATTTCGGCTCAATTTATTGGGTCCAACTGATTCAGTACTTGATGTTGAACCTATCGAAGTCGAGGTATCACATTTCCTCCCCACTTATAGAAATTTTGCCCTCGAAATTTTTCCACTGTGATTACCCTAAGCATCGCTTGTGGTAATCCTTTTCACTTCGCGGATTTTTATTTCCTTTAACTTATATTCCATGACCTAAAACCCTTCTCTCCATTCCCCGCAACTTCAATGTTGTTGTGGCTTCTTAACCCTTCACACAGCTAGGCTGCACCTATACATGAGAAGTTAATGCCCCTCTCCAACCACAAGGTCACTGATAGCGGCTTATCTTCCATCTAGTCAGATGGTAAAACCCTTTTAACGTAACTCTCGTCTAGGGTTGACCTCATAGGTCACCTAGGTCCATGTATCTTCTAACTTTGCATCCCTTACTTTCCTCCTTGATGCCACGTCTTATCCTTTAACCATAAACTGAGTGGTCACCTTCTTGTTACTTCTTGCCTAACTCTGAAACCTCATACTACTGCTTCGAATTTCTGTATGCATTAGAGGCATCCTTTGCATCTTTCTCTAGCTTGCGATCAACTTTATGACTTCTTTCCAGAATCATGACCTTCCATTTTGAGTACTTTTGCACTCATGGCGTCTAACTTAACACTTCCTTATCACCGTTTAACTTGGGAGTTCTCGTACGATCTCTTCTATTGTTCTTTGACCTTGCCTGAAATTCCTCGTACAGTTTCTCCGTCCAATAAATTTTCACCCGAGAGATCGCCACATTTCACCCTCATAGGTGGTATTGCTTTCACTTTAGGGTATCCTAGCAGATTCGCTAAACTCATATCCATCTTACTTCTTTACTCATGACTCCTCTTACCGATGTTTCTCGCTAGTTCTATACGTCCCTCGTCCTTGATGTAGTCATCATGGTGCCCATATTCTCCTCTCACTTATGTACCTTGACCAATAAGGTTTTCCCTTCGACCGTTCTGGACCACCACACTTCTACTTTAAAGTTGACCATTGAGCTTCTCAGTTCTTAATGGGCTTCCTATGGTCCAACCTTTTCTCCACTGGCAATCACCTTAACGCCTCCTTGTTGACCTTCGTATTCTTTCGCTGGCTCTTCCTAACTATCTTTCCCTCTGAATTTGTCGTTTTATCAACTACCACCCTTTTCACCATAACTTTCACTATAGCCTTGTGGTTTCCTCCTTACTTCCACAACTCCTTCATCGATGCTTGGTACTAGATTTGATCTACTCCGTTTAGTAGCTCCTCGCCATACCTCAGAGCCAACATTTCCACTAGAAACTTTCTCTAGGTAGACTTGACAGATGACATCCACGAATTCTACTCATGATGGTGCTTGATCACGTCCCAACTATCTTCCTTCACGCATTCATCGTCCGGTCGACAACCACCCTTCTTTTATTTTATTTCCTAGAACGTCCTATGGTGTTCTCCTTGCTTATTTACTTTTACTACCCTTCTGTTGATGCTTTGTACTATTTTCGGTCACCAAACTCTGTTGAGTATCTTCTCGTTGTTGTTTTGGGTCAAAGCTTCCAATAGTGGCTTGCCCTTGGTAGGCTTGAACATACCTCATCCACGTCTTTTGTCTCGACCGATGCTTGTACATAGCCTTAATCTCTTAGTCATGGCTCTTAGTGGCTTAACTAAATATCACTAATTTATCCTTAACTGGCCTTTTTTTATGGATGACATCCTACTATGTCGTACTCGCTCAGAGTGGGGCACCTTGGGTAAGGTAACTGAATGATTTCCTCCTTCTTGGTAATGCTTTTCCTCGTCGTACTCCACTATGCATTTTCTTGAACACGAGTCACCTACACATATTCTCAATCCTTCATCGGAACTTCCATGTGTTTCCTCGAATTCTCTGCCATTCACTAGAACATTTATTGAACATTCCACTTACTTGTCTATACTCGGTTGGCTTAATGACTTACTCTATAGCTAGTTCCGATACCTCAGCTCTTAGCCCTCTAGTTCCAACTTAGTAAAGAGGTTCCTCCTTCTGTCACCCCTCATGTACCCTAGGAGGCTAGGTGTTCCCTCTATTTAAGAGAGGACAATCCCATAATAGATCATCGTGAACTCTTGCATACCCCTTCCAACGGTCCCAACATCCTCCTGACCTTTTGTGATCGGGTAGTTTGTAGGGTCTCTCATATCCCAATACATCCTCTTTCTAGCTCGACATTGATCACTAGCACATTGTTATTCTTGATCCAAGCTCGTTCTCTACCTCAATCATCTTGACGCTAGTCTTGTTCCTTTTAAAGGCTTGCTACCAGCCTAACTCCCCAGGGTGATGTACCGTCTTCTCTAGTGACGTACTTTATCTATAAGGGTTCCTTTGTCGTCATATGTAAAGGACCATGCCTCCTCTCTGTCTTGACTTATTAACTTCTTGACGTCCTTTCGTACTCCCTGTAACCTACTTATTCCCTCATTTACTTCATTTACACTACCCTAGCTTCTCTTGAAGTCTAACCTTTTCACTGCTCCTTGTCACTATGTTGTAATGGCGTTGAGCCATCGACCACAAAAACTAGCTGAGGGACTTCTCGGGGTACCTCTTCGTTTCTTGACCCGTTGCCCACTTTCCACTGCTTAGGACCAAAGACCCTAACATCATCCTATTATCATAGCTACTGGCATCTGGTGATTGTTCCTCTTCCTTTGGAGATTCATATTTCTCCCCTTTGTTTGTCTTAGCTTATTAGATCATCCACTTTTTTCCTAGTAGTAAAATCCTCGTGCTACTCTCTCAACTCCTTCAAAATCCTTGAGGTATTCCCTTTCAATTGGAACCTCTTTGCTGATGTTTGGAGTTGAAGTCCTCGCACATTTGATTCTATCTTGAGAGCCTTAGAGATTCTACTTGGGTTGGTCACGTTTCTTTTATCCTTTCTTTCTTACTGATGATCGCCATACGCCTCAATCTCTTATTTGACGTCCCACGACGAGTTAACTCAACTCGCGTCCTAGCTTATTCTTAAACCAATTTCACCCTCGTAATACCTTCTCATAGTGTTGTGATGTAATAGTTATTCACCTTATTATGACTAAAATAGACTGGAGATTCTATAAACTCTTAAAAGAAGATCCTTGACTCGTTTTCCATTCCTTTAAAACAAAAGCCTTTAAAAACTGAGACCGACATTCCAGTATTCCTTGGAGACCAAGGAACAGAGGAAGACTGGCTCTGATACCAAAATGAAACACCCTAACCCGGCTGGGTACTACTTTTACTAAAATGCCCTTGATAAACAAAATACTCAAATCTTAAATTGCAGCTGGGAAAAATTTTAATAAATAAAATACTGGAAACACACACTTGTAGTTCAAAGCAAAGCCTTAACATGTGGGCAAATTAAACTCAAACTTTAAAAACTCAACTTAATCTCCAGTCTATACTCATAATCATAAAACATAATAACTAACTAGTCTCAGGTGTTGCTGCTTGTGTGAGAAACTCTGACTAGACATCCTCTGTGACGCTCGTACCGTCCTCCTCTAGCTAGCTTCACTCGAACTATTTCTCTCGATCTTGCTGCTCTCTAACTGCTCCTCTAGCTTCTTCCTCTTCAAACTGGTGAATGAGATAGGGTCAGTCTACGCCCTTACGTTTAACGTCTTATTGATACTTGATCACTTTACTTAACTGAGTGAAAGTTGTTTTGTACTTCCACTATTAAAAAGATTAACTCTTAAAACTGTATGGGAGCTACTGTTACTCCTCATTCTTAAAGCTCAAATCTCGACTTAAATACTTGACTGACACGGAGATCCCTCACTAGCTAGTCTAGTTGCCAACTCATACGTATGAGTAGCCATCTAGGCTTTCCTTAAACTTAAAACTTAGTTAGGGAAGTCGTAACGATTCATCCCCCTAACATCTGGTGGCTCTTCACCACGATTCTCAAGGGCATAGCTGCTGCCCATCTTAAAAGTCTCAAGAGCATAACTGTTGCTCTATCTCAAAATGTCTCAAAAGGAAACGGACTGGCGCTAGTGACTAAAAACACTTAAAACGACTTCACCTTCTTGAAGGTGAGTTGCTTCTTTAAAAAGAACTTGTTTCTTAACTTTAACAATAACTTATAAACTTAAAGCTTTAATTTAAATAAGAACTTATGCACGTTCACTTCAAACATGGCTCATACAAAACCACATATCACCAATCATAAACACAATCAAGCAATAACAATCACTTCATCAAATACTTAAAGCTCGTCAACCTTGAAAGAATACGTAAGGCGTAGAATTTACCCTTTTTACACTCATCTTATTAATCCACTAAATTGGCTCGAGTTGAACTCCCAACAGTCCAACGCCTTGCTTAACGTGCACCGGTTGTGCGATCTCCTCCAATTCATCACCCACAGCCTTTGAAGCCAACATTCGAGCCACTTTTGTGACTTGCATTCCTAGTTATTTTTTTTTTACTTCTCAGACACAAATTTGTGTTGCAAGGCGGATGGCAATGGCTTACTGGCATTGACATGCACATGGACCACATCTCTCTTGGTCCACTTCTGTTGTATGCAGTCATACACAAATCGTTTGTGCTGCGGGATGGTTG